GGTGTCTTTCAAAGCGATCCACTCATCCACCCATTTTTGGACTTTTTCGTAACTGGAGAAGTATGTGTCCGTAAGTGCGTGTTGCATCAATCGAAAGAGATGGTAATCTGATGGTGCCAAGTCTGGAGAGTATGCTGGATGCGGGAGGATTTCCCATTCAAGTTGTAAAAGTGTTTGCTTCACGTTTTTTGCAACATGTGGTCGAGCGTTATCATACAACAAAATGACTTTGCGTCGATTGTTGGCTATGGATGATCTTTTTTGCATCAATTCGTCACTCAATCAGCATAATTACTGTTGGTAGCGATCAGCTGTAACGGTTTCATTTGGACGCAAGAGTTCGTAATACAGCACACCCTCCTGGTCCTACCAAATACAGAGGAAGGTTTTATGCCCGTGAACATTTCTCTTCGGTGTTGAAGCGGATGGTTGACCGGGGTCCACCCATGATTTTTTCCGCTTAGAATTATCAAAATAAATCCATTTTTCATCGCCAATCACGATGCGCCACAAAAAATTCTTTTTTCTTTACCTGGCAAGCAAAAAAGTTGCAATAGACAAACGATTAAAAATGGCATTTTCTGATAACTCATGTGGTAGTCATATCCCTTCCTTATGAATCTTTCCCATGGCATGCAAGCGTTTTGAGACGGCCTTTAGAGTAACATTTAACGCTTTCGACAACTCTAAAGCGTTTGAGCTGGATTCTCATCAAGCAATTCTTGCAGCTCGACATTTTCAAAATTTTTCGGCTGTCCTGGACGTTATTTGTCTCTCACATCAAAATCACCGGTTCGGAAGCGTTCAAACCAAACTCTACATGTTCTTTCCGATGGAGTTTCATCACCATACACTTCGGATAATAAGCGATGCGCTTCAGTTTTTCTTGAAGTCGAAGTAGTGAAGAAGCACATGTCGGAAAAACAGCTTATCGCGATTCATTTTCAATCGATTGGAAAATCTCTTTGGCATCGAGAAATCTAATCTGTGACGATTGAATCGCTTTCAGCATTGTCTAAACTACAAAAAACATACGACTTTATCATCGAAACTCGCCAGCGTTAGAGCCAGCACTCTCTAGCAGCGAGCGGCAGGAGTTCAACACCTAATAATAACATCATAATAAAAATATAGATGTGATATTTAAAATAAAAAAGATAAGAAATATTCCCACGAGAGTTAAAAAATTCAGTATGTAAACAGGATGCGCCAAAAGTCCCGGGCCATCTGAATAATTTTTGAATGATTCGAGATATAGGATTAAAATTTACAGGGATACAATGGGATCATAAAATTTGTCATTGAATCTCAAAAACACTCACCTTAACATTCCCAGGAGGAGAAGCGGGCCTGAAAATCTTAAATAGCATGTGAGATTGAATGAGAGCTCGTTTGATAGAGCTTTTCGAGATGAAAACAACGTGAACTGACAGAGATCTCTACGATGTTTTTTCAGATTTATGATCATTCGAATATTGTTATTCAGAACAACTTGATAGTGTCCCATGCGTAGGTAAAACGTATCGATAACATTATTTATGCATTCTGATGTAAATTAATTCCGCAGCTCTTCTAAGTTTGCGAGTTTAATCTCATAAATTTTATTTTTTAAATGCCCCCAGTAAAAAAAGCCTAATGGATTCAGATCTGGTGATCTCGGTGGCCATTCTATTACGCCTCTTCTACTAATCCATCGATCAGTAAAAACACCGTTAAGAAAATTTCGGACCACAGGAAAAAAATGAGCTGAAGTTCCATCTTGCTGGAACTAAACATTCTGAAAAGCTTCTTCAGTAATATCTTAAATAGCCGGTATCATTTGATTTCTTAGCAAATTCAAGTAATTATCAAAAGTTATCTTCAATGAAAAACGGTCTTATAATACGATTAAGCAATATTACACACACGCACGCGTACTCACGTACGCATGCACGCACACAAGAGATGTAACTCTTTCTTCTGAACAACAATGTTCAAATGATCATAACTCTGTGAAAAAAAATCGTAGACCTCAGTCAGTTCGCGTTGTCTCGAAAAGCTCTTTTAAACAAACTCTCACTCGATCCCACATATCATTTAAGATTTTCAGGCCCCCTTCTTTCTCCTCTCCTCGGGAATGTTAAGGTGGGTATTTCAATGATAAATTTTATGATCCCATTATATTCCTGTAAATTTTAATCATATATCTCAAACTATTCAGAAATTATACAGGACTTTTAACGGATCATGTATATTCGCGTATATGTATATGCGAGTGAGTTGTATCTCAATCCCGATATAATAACGTCATAGTAAAAATATGGGTGATATGAAGGGATAAAGCCAGAATATTTAAGATATCTAGAATATTAAAAAAAAAGTTTTTTTTCTTTTTTGCTTAAATGATGCTTCAAGATTTTAGAAATAAGTTACAAAAGGTCTTATAGTGAAGAAAAATTCCTAAGTGTCATTTTTGGAAGTTTAAAGCGTCGTACTTTTTAATAAGATTTATAGCTTTTGCGAAGGGGTCATTCTGAAAATAATAAAAGGAATTAGTTACGTGCGACTCGATCATCTCTAAAATCGACCAAGAAGGATCAGGAAGAAAAGGAGGAAAACCTATTGTATGAAGAAGGCATCGCAAATTATAGATAAACATTTCTATCACTGATTGTTACATAAAACTTGAAACGCACTTTTTTTCAAAATCACTTTTTCCACGTTAATCGGAAACATAACTCCCACAAATCTTCACCGATTTACTTGAAATTTTAACTGTAGCTTTAAAATTGAATTTTCTACAGAAAATTTTATTACGAGCAATTTAAAAAAAAAACATCGGAATTGGTTAAAAATTAAGTCGTTTATCAATCTTTGTCCAAAAAGAGTACCTTTTTGTCCACTGTGTGTTGCTGCGCCTGTGTTTTGCTGCGATACACTTATATCGTGTTTCCAAATGTGCGGTATGTAACTGTGTCGTTGGAGATCTCGAGTTTTCGTATTTTCGTTTAATGGATGATTGTTATGCTATACGATTATATTATAATGAACATTCATGTACATTATATTGCCGATTTCTGCTCCCTCCCCTCTTGTTCTCGCTTTGACTTGTAGTACGTCATCTAGTAATGGATATCCTTTCTATTCTCGAATCTCATATTTTGTTATGTTTTATCTTCTAATATAATCAGAGTATCAAATCACAATAAGAAAAGCGCATTGCGGTGCTTTGATATGATAAAATACGTGTCTGTATGTAAATTGCCTGTCTGCTGTTATAATCCTATCGAATCGTCAGATCTACGTAGGACGACGCTGTGAGATCGCGATTTGTGGGCACACACAAATGAAAATTACACGGCAGATCGAATTATATAACTTGGCGCAAGCACGAGGAATCCTCTTTATATAAGCCGCCTCCACAAACTCATTTCTGCGACTACAACGCACTGAATCACGGATATGGCGAATGATGCGAAAAGTTTCCTACCTGCCTCTCAAGAAACATCCGGGAATTGTTTTTCTTCTATCAAGTATTTCTGCTCGAATTTTCCGTCTTTCCCTTAAGTTCCATGAGTAAAAGTTGAAATTACGAAACAGGGGTTACACCTCAGGTATGAAGGGTGTAAAATTCGCAGGAGAAATTCCGCATCTATCGCGAATATAATCACAACAGTAACGTTGGTATTTGCAATCAGCGAATAACTTATTACAATTTCGCGTGTTCAATACAACGCGATTTATTACATTAAACTTATCATATCAAAACCATTCTGTGAATATCAACATTGTCGATTGAATTCCGACTAAAACAACGTATGTTGTTGTAACGTGTGCATGGATTCTCCATTGAGGTTTGCAAGATTCTTCGTGAAATAACGCGGCTAATAGCCGATTCAGTGCGATCATCGTACCGACCCGACGCGACAATATCATGATAGCAGATATCAAACTGCTGGAATTGCTGCTTCACGGTGTATTGATATTCAACGGGTGTCTGCCTGATAAAGCGTCGAGTGGAATATTCAATCAACTGTGATAGCGAGAGGGTGAGCGGGAACAGTCGGAGGAAAAGGGTGCATCTTGCCGACCAGATGCTGCGACGACTATGGTACTGAGGTAGATGGTGACGGTAAAAGATGGAGAGGATCACGAAGAACGTGGATGACGAGAGTGTTGATCGACGTTGCTTGCGCATTCCTGGCGAGGACTAAGGAATAACGTCGCTAAAGCGAAGGTAAACGATTCGTCGGCGTCAACGAGTTCACGAAGAGGATTCTTGGCTGGAGAAGTAATTCGATATACAAGCGGCGCGTGTTCCGTTCTGATCGCATGGATTCTTTAGGTTTTTCCGGGGTATTACAGCGCTAAATCGTGACGAATCGAATGGCCCGAGAGATTAGACGTGTGTTTGAAGTAAAGTGTATTTCTTTTGGAAGGATGAAAGAAATGCTCTTGATGCTTTTCTGTCCGACGTACTTCAGCTTTTAATACGGGCCTACCGCGCGTTAATCTCTCAGTGGAGAAGACTTATGTGTTATACATATATATATATATATGTGTATAACACATAAATATGTATAACAAAAAATTGAATATTACTTGAGTTTTGAAACTATAACATCTTAAATCAGTTACGCAACTTATTACATTTGTACCGAACTTTAATTAGAGCAAGTATAATTGTTTAACATTAACAAAAACACACTGATTTAAGATGTTATAGTTTTAAAACTCAAGTGATATTCAATTTTTTATATCCTCCATAAATTCTTTGGAATGAAATCTTATTTTAAAGAGTGAAAATAAACTAGTCTTGAAAAAGAGTGACTCACTTTACAATCTTTAAAAATGAGATTTTTCTCCTTAGAGTGAGATTCACAACAAGTTTTAGAGAGCCTATTTTTATAACATAATAATTATTACACTTATATCTTTAGAATCATTTCGAAAGATTTTATTTTTTTGTTTTACAAAGATATATGAATATACCGTTTAACATAGAATTACCGATTACGAACCTGGACGCCTCGAGTGAATTCGTTATTGCAGTAAATATGGACGGCAGAGAATTCCCTGACTTTGTCGAACTCGAACTTGATCTCGACCGGTTGGCCGCGGCTATCGTTCCTCCAACCCACCCAACCCTGGGCACGATCATTATCGTAGTACATTTTGAAATTATCAGGCCCTGTTCTCCCATCCGTCAGTTGACCCAGACCACGGCGCAACTCGCCGTCCCAGTGTCCGTCGTAGGTCATGTCGAAGAATTCCCATCCATTGCTTCTTTTATCGCCTTGGGGCATCGAATAAGACACCACACCGTCTGTAAGACAAAAAGTCAAAATATGATTTGTTGACCCCGCCGCTGTCTTCGATTTGCTCGAAAGCAAATTATACGACTTTTTATATTTCTTTATGACAGATATATAATTAATTATTATATAGAAGTATAATACATATACGTATTATGTATGATTTTTAATGAATCTTTTAACGTCTAGCAACATAAAATACAATATAAACAAAATATTAAATGTTTCAAAAAACATGATTGTACATTTTTTTTATAGGGTGCAGCGAGTTCGTCCATAATATTATATAATATTACCTATTTATTAGTTGTGCTAATAATGACAATCAAAATTGTGCATAATTTAATGCTAATCTAAATATATAAATCATATATGATATATTTCTATACATATTGCATCAAGCATTAAAAGTACATAAAAAATCAAAGATTAATAACTTTTCCACTTATATAATTCCATTTAAACATTTTCATATTTTAAACTTACTTTGATCATTTTAGCTACTCATGAAATAAATTATTCGTACAAACGTCTGATGAGCGTTATAGTTTAACACGCGTACTAATGATTCATTGTATTTCCGGCATTAGAAGCACCCATTCGAAGCCCGTAGCTAATTCGATTTCCAGGCGAAAACAGAATTATACAAGCAAGATTTTGAAAAGCAAATTTGCTCTGGGCATGCCAGTATCAAGGTTAATGGACAGTCTGGTGGGTGTACTGGTCCGCGGCAAGTTTTACGAAAATTGGCGAGTGCAAACAGCTTACCGCTCCAGTAACACCCGTAGAGCTCGACCCGCATGCAAACCGTCCGCCTGTGATAGCTGTAGGGTAGAAAACGGATCTTGCTCGCCCACAGAGGCGGCTCCAGCTCGTGCTTGGACTCCAAATACGTGTTCGTGTTACCCTGTATTACCTGAAAGCACAGAAAGCGTCAGTTCAAGTACAAGACAATTTCAGTTTTCGATCCGGCACGGTGTTTGAGCTTTACCGGTCGACATGAGTCTCATTAGCTCTCTTTCCTCAACGGCGTTACATTAACTTTCAAACAATCGGATATTTGAGCACGTGCGCCATTCCCCGTTCTACCGCGCTTTTTATACTATTATGTCGGACGATGCCGAGTGGATGCGCAAAACAGTAAATTTTTGTTGGTATACTTATATACCAACATTTTACAAGATAAGAATTTTTAACGTACTATACACTTTTGAGCTGTAACTTTAAGCATGGTATCTTATGCACGTAAAAGGAAAAAAGTCTACGCGTTATTGATATAAGTTATCTCGAAACGACCAAATTGCCGTCGTAAATTTCGTTATATTAATGAATTTATGATGTCCTCACGTATATTAATTAGATAATCCAACAAGTCGAAAAAAAGCATTAGATAACGCGTTACTTTATGTTACAATTTATCTGGCAGTAACTGATGACATTTATATCATCTGAACAATGTTTGCGTTTCAGCAGCACGAATGCAGCTCCCCTCTCCTTCTCTAGACTTGGATATCCTGTCATAGAATAGACATTACGTTCAATGGAATCAGACGGAGTCTAAGGACTAATTTTACTATACATTCCACCGCATTAGGTCTGACAAAAATCGCACAAAGAGACAAAGAGAGATAGATAGACAGAGAAGCCAACATGGACGAGCAAATCAAGACGGGACGAAGGGTTCGTGACGGACGCAGGCAATGAACAGAGGGTGAGAGAGGGTTGAGTTAAATGTCCGCCGTCCGCATTCCCTGATCCCCGTCGAGGCAGCGAACGTGTTGCCCCCCCCCCC